CCCCAAAACCCCAAAACCCCAAAACCCCAAAACCCCAAAACCCCTGACTAAATTATAAATATTGAATAAAAATGAAGCTTGAAAATCTTGAAAAGAGTTCAATTACAGATATCAACTATTACTTGTCGAAGTTTTATAAAGTTATATGGATACCTCTGCATCTCTGTAAGTCTACAGTTTTCTAATCATAGTGATATTTTACCTGGTCGCATATCACCTATACATGTATGCACATCTATGGATGGAGTTTAGCGAGAAGGAACAAGGAAGAACTCTACTAGCAATTTGAATTTATCTCACCTTTAATTTTACATCTCTATTTGTATTGATCAAGTGTAAATCAAATCCAGGAAGGATCCTTGAGCAAAAATTTGATCCTATTGACAAAAGGTTTACCAAGGAAGAGTTAAATAGGATGTCTCAAAGTATGAAGGGTTTACTCTCATGTTCTCATCTTACACAGCAAGACATTATGAAGACATTGGATACTGAAGGCAATACTTCTACTAAGAAATGACTTAAGTGAAATGATTTAAAGCCATTGTCGATGTCTCATTGATCTACTTGTGACAAATGAGTTTATAAATTAGACCATCATTGACCATGGCTAAATAGATGTATCGCACACAATAACCTAAGATTTTTCATATCTCTTTTGGTTTTTGGTACAACTGTGTGCTTTTGAAATGGAGTTCTGATTTTCACAAGCAGATATTCTGACTATTACAGTGAAAATCTTTGGAAGTGAAGGATTTTGACCTACCTCAGCTTTTTATCTACTTATGGTCTAGCGCCTTATACTCTTCTGGAGGTTTACATTAATGCTAAAGGAAGGACTTTTCTGGAACTCCTTGCTGGAATTAATAAGAAAAAAGCTAAGCCGAAGTTCAAGTATGGTGAGAACTGGAGAGAGCATTTTTATCTCTTCCAAGGCACATGGTGGCCAATTCTAGGAATTATTTTCCCTTATTTCCTTAAATCACCAGTTACAGGATTGGAGTATAGCTTTGTTAAGAATGATAATGAGCCTGATAACTTTATTGAGAATACCTTTGAGCCTCTATTTAGGGTCACTAAGAAGTCCAATAATCAGACTTAATTCAATTATTTCAGGCAAAAAGGGGTTTTGGGGTTTTGGGGTTTTGGGGG